ATGTAAATATGTACATACAAATATGTATCCACGTGTGTGGTCTTATTCAGTTACTCACCCCCACAATCACTCGTTGGTTATTACTCTTGTCCTCACAGATTTGTCTGTGTAATAGTATTTATTTCTGTTGAGTTTCTACTTCATGAGTTCCTACCAATTTCATTAGAATTTCTTCTGATAAGGTAGTGAATTGGGATAAAAAGTGGAATAGAGAGTAGGGGACATAATTTAAGGCTCTGCATTATACATTGAGTGACTGAAACTTACTTATAGTAGCTAGTCCTTGAAATATATAAATTGCTGTCCCAACTATGAGGGTTAGAATCATGAAATTCTAAACTGTAAGCTTTATAAAGATTTCTGTTTCTACAAATATATATAGTTGTTGTGTACCATAGAGTCAGAACTGACCCATAGCTGACCCTACAGCAAGTTTTCAGAGGCAGTTAATCACATGGGAGGAGATTGCCCATCCTTCTCCCATAGAGCAGCTCAAACTATGTCCTTTGAGATTACAGCACAGCTTCTTGCCACTAGGCCACCAGCACTCTTTATATGAGCATGTATATCTATATTTCTGTAAGTAGAAGGCTAAAGGGGAATTTTCAGAAGTAATTTTATGAAAATAATTTCTTTTTACTATATAATGAAAATTAAAGGCAATACATTTTCTTAAGAGAGTTTCCTGATGTTTTATGTATATTAAATGAACAACTGTAGTCCTCTGATGTTAGGGTTTTGTTGTTGTTGTTTTGTGCTGTTGAGCTGACTACAACTCATAGCAACCCTATGCACAAAAGCTCTGAATCCTGCTCTATCCTGGACAAATCTCATTATCTCTGACACACCTACCCCCATTACCCCAGGTATTGTTTCAATTCACTCATTCAGAGTCTTCCTCTCTTGTTCTCTCCCTCCACCCTTCCAAGCATGGTGTTCTTCTCAAAGGACTGGTCCTTCCTGGCTTTATGCCCAAAGAGATGGAGTCTCAAAATCCTTCCTTCCAAGGAGCAGCTTGGTTTCACCTTCTCCAGGACAGAATTGTTAGTTTTCTGGGTTTGCCCATGGTATGTTCAGTACTACAACTCAAAGGCATGTTAGATGGTTATTGTTGTTGTTATGTATTATCATGTCACGTGCGACACATAATAACCCTATGTGCAGCAGCTCTGAACCCTGCCCTGTCCTGAACCAGTCAGTCTAATTCCAACTCACCAACTCCCATTGCCCCAGTTACTGTATCAATCCATCTCATCTGGAGTCTTCTCCTTCTGCACTGTCCCTCTACCCTTCTGAGCATGATAATCTTCTTTCAGGACCAGCCTAAGTTATACTTATAATTTTTTTCATTATAGAAATTTCTCAGTATAGTAATGGTGAATAGCTAGTCAGCTCTTTCTATACACATGGTGGAGTCTCTAGATGGTGTAAATTAAGTGTGTATAAGATATTTTCTACACATTTAATGGTTAACATGTTCTACTATTAACCGAAGGGTTGATGATTCTGGTCCACTCAGAGGCATCTTGGGAGGGAAAAAATCCTGGCAATGTATTTCTGAAACATCAGTCATTGAACACTTTATGGAACATAGTTCTGCTCTAAAATACACAGGGTCACTATGAGATTCGTTGGTACCCATGTTTTGTATGTTTTTAAACGCATAATGCCAGGTTGGTGTGTATGTATACTGTGGAATTTAATTTTCACAACAAGTCTATGAAAAAGATACTATTATGATAGTAATTTTGCTCATAAAGAAAGTTAACAGAATAAGATTAAGTTACTTTCCAAACGCATATCTCATACTGTGATTCTTCATATCGTCCTCTCTCCAAAGTCTTAGGCTGGTCATGAACAATATGTCTGCTGCTCTCTGGCTACATCACATGGTATCCTTAAGCTCAAGCCAAAGGGGCTGGACCAGCCTAACCTGGGCTGAGACAAGCTTTTGGGCTGCAGACCAAGAAGGGAGCACACATACATAGGTCCTTCACAAAACACTGTTATCCTGTGGGTTACTATATGTTATAATCACCTAACATCTACTAAGAAAATACTCACATAATGCCAAGAAAGCAGCAATCTGCGTCAGCCATCATGAAAAAACCAGAATAATCCTTCTCCTGAAAAAATCAGACCCAAATGAATATCCCAGATAGAGAGAACTAGAAGAAATATGTTGGTTTGGAATTATTTGAACAGCTGTAGAAGAAGATGAAAATGATGGAAGAAACAATGGAAGCCGTTAAGAGAGCAAATACCCCAGAGACAACAATCCAGAAAAAAATCTATCTATGAGAAACAACTTGAACAGAAATGGAAGAAAATGCAAAATACTGAAGAAAGAAATGATAATATAAACAGAGGTATAAGAACTTTAAAAAATCATCACAAGACAGAGCACAGCCAACATAGTACTGAAAATAACAGAAAAGCATGAAAATACAACACAGAATACTAAGACCAAAATGCAGAAGTGTCCGATACACTGGTAGGGCAAAAAGGGATAAAAAGGGCTAAAGAGATGCAACAGAGAGTCAGAGAGCTGAAGACAAGAGCCTCATTGGAAACATACTAGAATAAAAATCAGAGATATT